TGTTCAGCTTCTCATCTCCCGCCTCAGGTTAGTGCCGAATCGCGGCGGCTGACAGCAGACACGCGGCTCCCCGGGCACATCTCGGGCCGAGCGCTGCGGGTTACGGCACACTGAGCAGAAGCCTCTGCTGACAAATGCTCCCACGGGAGAAAGAACTGAGAGCACCCAACCACCCTACCCCATTCAAGAGTGTTAATCTGTCTCAAAGGAGCTACTTTTGGCACAAAACTCTCTCAAGCAAATACCATCCAGGCTTCCAGGTGTTGAAATTAACACAAAGAAACCATCTGCAGACCTGAAACATCTGCCGGTGTGAATAGTGGGGTGTGGTGCTGGGCACCACTAGGACTGCTCGGTCTTACCTGGCTGCTCAAAGAAACATTGAGTTTTGTCTTCTTGGATTTTTTCACTATTTTTCTCTTTAGGGACAGCTCCTGTGCAGCCTAGGAAGCAAGACAGACCAGGTGGATCACTACAAACTTCCTTGTGTGAAGATGCAAACAATCACTTTATAGTATATAGGTTTCTTTGCTCCATAACTGCAAAATCTTTGCTACAGCAATTAGGTTTGAATTAATAAAATGACTTGCAGCACCACAGAGGTGATCTGGTTTGAACAAAAACATCCAAAGCAATGTAAGAAAAGCTGCTACTGTGCATTTTAAAAAATCACCATGTTAAAAACCATTGCTTAAAACTCAAGTACATCCCCCTAGCACTCTGCAATTGAGCAATACACTGGTTAGCTAGACAAGGTCTAGGGATGAAAGCTCTGGTCTTGGGACCTGCCTTCAAACACCCACCCTACCAAAGCCTCTCACAGGGCAGGGCGCACAGTCACTCTTTCGTGATCTACAGTCAAATATGAAAACCTCAGGATATCCATCTGTTTACAGGAACAGAAGAAAAGGAACGTTTTCCCTTTGCTGTTACTTGAAGCACAACTCGGCAACAGCGCTGCACTAATTTCCAACAGCTTCTACACAGTTCTTAATGCAAGTGAGTCTCCCTGGTGCTCCAGCTCTTCCCCCAATTCCATACAAAACATATTAATTTCTTCTATTTAGCACAACCTTAGAAACATGTTTTGCATAAAACACTCCTTGAAATGACACCAAACTTACAAATCCTGGGAAGTCATAATCGAGCCCCTTCTCAGCCAACCTCTTCCGTAGCAGCCTCTCCTTTCGCAGGAGTCGCTTCGTCATCTTCGCCTTCTGGAGGAGCGAGCGGATCTTGTTGTACCGCCGGACCGCCGGCTGAGAGGGCTTCAGAAACACCCTGTTACAGCTGCTGAAAAGGTTTTCATGGACCCTTTCTGGAGGCATGAACTGACCTGTAGTACCATAAACAGACGACAGCTAGTTATAGCAGAGCTGCTCTTCTCACCAGATGTGCTCCCACAACGCTATTCAGCTCGGTTATGACATTATCCACTGTGAGCAAAGAGCACTGGCACAGTATTTGATGAACACAGAGGATGGAAAGTGACTGAATGCTCATAATAGAACTGATAACGGAGGGATAGATGGAAGAAAATAACACTTTTTCAGTTTCACACAGAAAACAGTCAGGGAAACTTGTTTTTCAAAAGTTGCTGCATATACAACTCATAACCCTTTGCAAAGTAAGCGTTGCTATCACCATGTCCCAGAAACTTGCTAATTTCATTAACCTGTTAATCAAAAAAGCCCCTGATGTCTAACTACACAGACAGCAGCTGCAACAGTTACAAACAACAAAGAATTTCCACACTAAAAGACCTGTTCCCACAGCAAACCCCACTGTTTCCTGAGATTTGATGTTACACAACAAGCGTTATCAGCCTAGAGGGAAAAAACAGGAGCAGTGGCCAAAGGCTGCTGAGGGTCTTCTCTGTGCAGGAAGAAAAGCAAAAAAAGCTCAGCCCCACAGAAAAACCTTTCAGGACAAAACTTAATTTAATAATTACAAAAAAACCCAAACAAAAACCAACACAAACAAGATTCTCCAACAGTCCAAAGAAGTAACACACATAACTATGAATTTCTTTTGCACGTTAGAGGACTTACACTTCAGCTTATACTCACACTTCAGCAGTCTTTCAGAGAACAGGTAGTTGTTCATCGTGTCTGCAACGATCTTGGCCACGTCATCGGACTCAAACTCTATAAATCCGTAGCCTTTGCTAGCTCCAGTCTGCAGGCAACCACAGAAAGAAATCTGAAACCATGCTTCCATACATTATGCAGAACTAAATTAACATTATTTCATGCTTCCAAAGCCTTAGCCCATTCTCAGACAGACATAAGTAATTTCATAAAGTTCAGTGAAATAATGAAATGAATCAGATTTAGTCTCAAATTAGTAAGACATTATTCATAAATAGGTATCTGTATGTGAACGAAACTGCTCACCAATACCTATTGCTAAAAAAAAAGCTGCCCAGAGTTGCTGTTCTTCTGTTGCTGTTACCAAGGGCACAGAGCATTATATGTGATGAGAAATCCAGAAATGAGAAGTTAAATTTATTGAGTAAAAAGCAAGAAGAAAGCTACAACAGAGTATTTTCCATATTTCACATTCTACCTTGAATTAGTGTATTCTGTCACCACTTCTCACCCAAGTGCATTCACTTATGGGACAAGGGGGCTCCATTAACTGCTTATCTGCACTCCCAGAACCACAGCACGGTGTGGGTTGGAGAGGACCTTTGAAGATCACCCAGCCCCGCCCCAGAGACAACGCTCTGCGGGTGATCAGCCCGAGAGCCGTTAGGGAGCGTTCTTTCCCGGACGGTGCCTCCCTCTGCCCGCTCCTGAAACTGCAACCAAGTTTCTCGCGCGGTGCCCACCACAGGCAGAGCTCCGGGCAGGTCAGGGACACAGCGACACACAGAGCTGCTGAAGGTGCTCCGGAAAAGAGTTAACTCTGATCATAGAATCACAGACTGGTTTGGATT